AGCACATAGAGATGGTAAGTGGGGAACGAGATGACGATGCTGGTACAGCACCTGTCCTGAGGGATCTGGAAAGGAGATTACTCTGGCATAGGACACGATTTTAGTTAGGAGTTTTTACGTTTAGACTGTCGTACGGGGTTACTTTCTGTTTCTGAGCTGTACTGCCTGCCACGTAGGCCTCCCCTGCACTTAGCAGGTTGAGTATGTGGCCCCTGTTCACCCACAGCCCATTTCAATGTTGACAGCAGTGAGAACAGCTCCAGGTGTTAGATGGGTGGGGTCAGACCTGATCTTGGTTCAGCAACCTAGGTACTTGAGTTCTGGCTAGGAAAAACTTCAGAGCCCACACTCCAAATGTAAGAGAAAGTTTATTTAGAAAGTCAGAGGTAGAAGATGTGAGCAGGAGAAGAAATGGGCCAAGGAGGTAATGCACCTGGGAGCAGGAGCAAAGTGGGGAAGAGGAGAGGGAGGGGAAGAGGAAAGAAAAGGGTGTGTTCCCATCCTAAGGGCTTTTAAGGACAGGGATTCTAGGGGAGGTCCCAGAGGAGGATCCCAATGGAATATTCATCAACTTTCCAGGTGTGGCCTCCACTAATTGGTCAGGGTCGGGGCAGGGGGTCAATGCAGCTAGTCCTGGCATCACCCACCTCCTTTTGCTGCTTTTCTTGACCTGGAGCTGAGATACAACCAAGGCCTAGATGTCATCTCTGGGGAGGAAAGGTCAGGGGCTCTAAACCTCATGACCAGCGATATGAAAGGTCAGGGCGTCCAAGTTACATGCCCAGCAATATGCGAGGGGAGGAAAGGTTAGAGTGGGGGCGAGGTCCTTCTTTCCCAGTTTTGCCCCTTGCTAGGCACCTGGGGCTTTCCACCCTGGACCTTCTGTGTCTGGCCCATCATCCTTGCTCTGCTCCTGTCTGTCTATCACAGCTAGATTCCTAATTATAACTGGCACTAGGGTTCTTGGGTTTCTCAAGAGAGAAATCAAGAGAAAACTCCGGTAACCTTTCCAGACAGATTTTATTAAGTTTATGCTCAAGCACAAGGGAGGCAGCACCGGGAAGTCCTCTGAACTAGCTTGGTGGCTGGCTGGCTGGCTGGCTGCTTTGACAAGCTGGGAACAAGCTTTTAGGAAAGGCAAGCTTGCTAAGTTTTCCATTTCAGGGTCTGGTGATGACCTTTTCCAGCTGCACTGCCTGGTAGCTATGTTTGCACCTGCGCTGTGGAGGCAAGATGGCAGACTGCCCCCCTAGAGAAGTACAGCGGTCAAACCTTCATAAACTGTGCATGCGGATCAGTGGCAATTTTAGAAGGCAGATAGAATCAGCTACCTCTGCATTTTTTAGTAGAGTGGAGGGATGGTGACATTCTTCGGCCTCTCTGGCATTCCTTCTGGCCACATGGTCTTAACTTCGCTTCCTGGCTGTGTGGTGTTTTCTATTCCCTGCCTCAGGTTCCTATGCTGTCTCATACTCACTACTCAATCTTTATTATCCAGATGCTCTCCCCCCCCCCCCCGACTAAATTGACTCTAGAAATTTTGCCTGTACATTGCCAAAACCAACAGATACTTTTTAAGTCTTTACCTTACTACACTTCAGCTGGCCACCTGCTTGTTATTGAATGTCCATCCCTTTGGCTGCTGTGGTATTATTTTCTCCTATTCTCTGCCACGCCTTTTTTTTTTTTTTTTTTTTAACCATTCCTTCTTAATCTTCTCTCTGGTTCCTTTACCTGAAATTTATACATTGGTATTCCCCATGGCTTGTCTGTGAATCATGAAACCCACCATCAACCTTGTTATCTCCTTGGGGGGATTTTAATCTACTCTCAGGGTGTTAATAGCTCTTTACCACCTAATAGAGGGGTGGGCAAAAGTAGGTTTACAGTTGTTCATCTCAAACATACATGTAAGCTATGATGATTACAATAACTTTATTAGCTAAAAAGAATGTCACAATGCAACTTTAAACCTCCCTTTGCCCACTCCATTTGTATCTGTGGCTCTTGAACCCTGCCCACCAATTTGAGCTTCAGAGTCATGCTTGGTTGTTTGTTAGATGTCTCCACTTTGTGTATTCCACAGATCTCTAAAGCTCAACATCTCCCAAGTGTAATTGATCACTCTCCACTCCAGTGCAACATTTAAAACCTTAAAATACCACTCAAGTCAAGAAGGTGCACCTCCCACACACAATCCATCAAGTTTTTAATCTAAGGAAGTCTCACACCTGTCCTCCACACTACCCCATTTTTGCAGTGCGGTGCTTTAGGCCTCATCACCGCCGGCCTGATTTACTGCAGTGGCTTCGCAACCTGGATCTCCGCGGGAGCTCAATCGTGCTTTCTTTAAACTCATCTTCCGTAAGCTCATCTGTTACCAGAATAAGCTATCAGAAATGTAATTCTGCTGTTGATAAAAATGGCAAAAGATCTCATAACATGTAAAAACATTCATGATATATTTTAAGTGAAACAAGCAGACTCTAAAAACAGTATGTCTATTATAATCCCATATTTGATTTTTAAATATATATATGTGTCTGTCTATCTATCTATCTATCTATCTATCTATCTATCTATCTATATATCTCCATCCTCCAAGAAATGAAATGAAGAACATCCATCTAAATAATAACAGAAGTTATCTTCCAGGGGTAGATGGTAGATCATGGGTGATTTTCTTTTGTTACTGATTTAGTTTTCCAAGCTTTCTACAATGAACAGGTATTCTTTTTGAAATCAGGAAATCAATAAATCCCACAAATCTAACAATTTCAATTTCTTTGGTAAAATGTTGAGTTAGCATCTGCTGGCAGGATAAACTCCAAGGATTTTTTCGTGGCAGATCAGGCCCTCCACGACCAGGCCACGTGCCTCCCCAGCCTAACCTCCTCGCCTCACTTTATAGAGCAGTGGTTCTCAAACACGAGGGTGTATCAGAATCACCGGGCCCATCCACAGTTTCTGATTCCCTAGGTTTGAGATGGGGCCCAGGATTTACATTTCTAACAACTGATTCCAATGCTGTTGGTTTGGGGACACATTTTTTAAAAGCATGATTGTAACAAAATATACATAAAAATTTTACCTTGTTAACTATTTTTTTTTTAATCCTCACCCGAGGACATTCTTCCATTTTTTGTTCAGATAGAGCAGGAGGGAGAGAGAGGAAGAGAGAGAGAGAAACATTGACGTGAAAGGGACACATCAAGTGGCTGCCACTCACAGGACCCAACCAGGGCTGGGGACAAACTGCAACCGAGGTACATGCCCTCAGCGGCAACCGAACCCGGGTCTCTCTGGACCGCAGGCCAACACTCTAACCGCTGAGCCAAACCAGCCAGGGCTTGTTAACTATTTTTAAGTGTACATTTCAGTGGTTTTAAATACATTTACACTGTTGTACAACTATCAAGTTATCACTTTTAGAACTTTTTCATCATCCCAAATAAACTCTGTACCCATGAAACAATAACTCTCCCTTTTCCTCTCCAGCCAGCACCAGCCCCTGGTTAACCTCTATTCTATCTTCTACGTCTAGGAATTTGCCTACTTCAGATACCTCAAGAGGAATCACTTGTCAGCATTTGGGGGTGTCAGTGTTCCAGATTTGGGGCTTTCCAATAGTCTGCAGTGGTAGTTCACTGTCACGTTAATATGCATTTCTCTTGTGACATATGATATGGAACATTAATTTTTTTTACACATTTTTGCATTTTTAAAAAAACTAGTTTTCAATCTATGTTCCTAATGTCTGTCAAGGTCACCTCCTGAGATTACATGAATAATAACGTGAGTCTGTTTAAAGTTAGAAATAAGAGTGTACACAAAAATATGTGTCAGAACAAAGGACAGAACTGACACAACAAGTGTTTTCATTGTCGTCTACCCTCAGTGACGGAACTCCACCACAGACCGTTTACTCTCCATAGGTCCCACTGCTGCCTGTATCGTCCTAGCCTCCCTGACCTCTCCGTCCTACAGGTTACCTCCAAAGAGCATTTTCTTCCCTACATAACTAACACCTGTCGAGCACCATTCCAGTTAATCTCACTCTCTAGTCTTTCTGCCTGACTTGATTCATACTATTCCCAATTCTGGCTCAATCTAACTATTTTTACATCTCTCAGAATTCTGAAGTTACAAGTGTTAACTTCAGTTTGTGTTTGATTTCTGTTTAGCAAATCTTCTGACTAATTTGATCTGTTTACTCTTTTCCCAATCTCCACATTCTTTTTTTTTTCTTTTTCTTTTGTTAATCTTCACCCAAGGATATTTTTCCATTGATTTTTTAGATAGAGTGGATGGAAGAGAAGGGGGGTAGGAGGGAGGGAGGTGGGCGAAAGAGAGAGAGAGAGAGAGAGAGAGAGAGAGAGAGACATGATGTGAGACACATCCATTGGTTGCTTCCTGCATGACTAAGACCTTTTGGTCTGTGGGCCAACATTCTAACCACTGAGCCAAACCAGCCAGGGCCTAATCTCCACATTCTCAAGGTCCTTACTCCACTCCTATCCCCCTCCCTCAACCCCCTCTGGGTTAATGACCTTGGTGCAGGGAAAACAACCATCAGTCATGCACTAAAGCCAGAAAGCTGGGCACAATCTTTGACCCTTCTCCCTTTCTCAACACAATATCCAATCAGTTACATTTTCAAATCATCTTCAAGTCTTCAGGGGAGAGAGGTATTAAAAATACATAATCGAGTATTTAAAAATTTTTCTGCAGCAAAATAAAAACATACATCACTTAAAAAAAACACACACCGTATTCTATATTAAATACATTAAAATATTGACTTTATAAATAAAATCATTTTAAACAGTAAATACATGATAAAATTTCTGATACAAGGTTTTGTACACATAGTTCAATGATGGGCTTTGAAAATATAAAAACTATGTCCTTCTTTTAAAAATCATTTAACTTAATATTACAAAATTATCAAAAGTTAAAAAGTGCTCCATTTTGTTCCATTTTTAAAGCAACTGTAGTACAATATTATACCTTTAAAAAAAAAGATGAATTAGGGCATAAGTCTCATCCTATGCCGTCTATAAATGAAAACGTCCCATCCGACTTTCTAGGCAGTGGGAAAGGTTGGGAAGCTGAGTTCTGTGCCAACAAAGCTGCCATGGGCCCAGAGCTAACTCTGTCCTTGTGCTCAGAACCAGGAGGTTCCTCCTTCCCGCCTCCTGCCATGGCGGAGTCTTTCTATGCCTACTGGTTCCTAATCCAGAAAAGTTTTCTGAAAGAATCTTGACATTTAAATCCGATGTCAATACTGAAACTCTTCTAAAGACTGAGGCATTTTGCATTTGAATTTTAGACAAAAAGTCAGGATTCTAATTCCGAAAGAAAGACTTCATTTGGTCACTTGATTTCATATCACTTGTCGAGGTAGGTTAATTTTCTTCTTTTTCCAGAAACTGTCCTGACTACACAAACGGTGGCCGTACTGGAAAGGGTTCTAGTGCCTTTTCCGCATTCTTCCAGTTGTGAAAGTTCTCTTTGTACCACTCAACTGATAGAAGAAAAAAAGACAAAATTCAAAATTAAAAAACTAAACATCAGTTAAACAAAATTTACTGAGTTCCTGCAAAGCAAGAGTCTTGCCCAACAGCCTATCAGCAGGAAAGGGCTGCCTAATGACAAAAACAATTTAATTCTGAACTGACTGTTAATCAGAAGATATTTCATCATCTGAAAATTCAGACTGAAAAATCAACTTTTTTTTTTTTAACTTCAAAAGTGCTTCAATATTGAATTTGCTGGTGTTGAGTGTATAAAACATTTTTAAAAATTCAGGGGGAAAGGATATAAGTCAGTTACACTAGTTTTAAAGTTATAGAAAGTAAGTATAGTATTTTATTCATGTAAATATAGCAATACTGCATTACAGGCATAGCAAGATGATGCTTTTCCTTCTAATATGTGAAATTATTTTATGTTGCTATACTATCAGTCAAGTTTTTTAGTTAAAAAAAAGATAAATCATCTTTAAATTTGCTTTTTAAAATTTAGCACAAGTATTTTGTGTTTTAAGCTCTAAATTGAAACTTTATGTTTGGACATTTTTTTTCTCATGAGTATATTTCTAAATAGAACTTTAACATACATACACAGACTTTTTATATACACTATTTAATAGATATTTCTGTAGTCAATTTGCTTCCTATTTGTTTCAATATAAAAAAACTCAAAACACTTTAAGACTGCAACTATCTATAGTTCATCAAATCTAAGATGCTACTTATCTTAAGATGGACCATTATTTTACATACCACTAAGAAAGAAAAACGTAATAATTTTAAGATACTAGTGATTGTAATCACATATCTTTCAAGGATATAAAAAAAGGTAAAAAATTGTGTACACGAGAACCAATGAAATAGGCATCTGATAAATGCTAATAGGATATAGGAAGACTGGTCAGAAGTTAGTCTATGAAATTCAACATGCTTAGGAAATATATTACTATTGCTAGAAATATATTAAATGCGACAATTTAAAAAGTAAAAACGATTCATCACAATATTCTACTGCACTTGCAGTGTTCTAAAAATAAACTATTCTTTCTTTAAAATGTTCTGAACCCCCATCCCCCAAAAGACCAATTCATAACATACTTGTTTTCTTTATTCCTTCTTTCCAAGGGACTTTAGGTCTCCATCCTAAGCCATGTATTTTTTCTGACTTCATTGGATATCTCATGTCATTGGTGGGTCTTGGAAAATAAAACAGATTTAAAATGACACCGTGGAAATATATTTACAAATCTGAATACTAAGAGAAATAATGTATGCCCATGCATCTTTACCATAATTCAAAATTTTTTCTTAAAAAAATTCTCCCTGATGACATGATCATAGAAAATTTGCAAAGTAAAGTGTGTATTTATTTTTTTAAAGTGTATATTTTTTAAAAATCATCTTTAATCCCAGATGCCTAACACTGCCTGTGGCTTACCCTCTTCTTATTTCAGCACAATCTAGGCATGAATACAGTGATCATACCTAAATGTTTGATGGATGAATAATTAAATACGCAAAGCTTATTAGGACTTGGGTGTTCCATACCCTGGATTAGGGACTTGATATCTATAATTAAACCTTAAAATCCTTTTTAAGAAGCAAAATATTATTTTCTCTATTTCACAATCAAGGAAACCTCAGCCTTGGAAAAAGTCAGTAACTTTCTTTAAATCACACAGCTAGTAAGTAACAATGCTACACTTTATTCTTATGACATTTATAATTAGAAAAAAAATATTTTAGCAGAAAACTCAAAATGGAGAAACTAGTTGCTGGTTAATTCCATATAGTTTATAATTTTATAAGTACCAAAGATTTCAAAATCGTTTCCCAGTGTTTTAACTTGTTACTCACCTATCATTAACATAATCAACCCAATTTTCCATTTCAGACTCTGAATTGGTCTCTTTGATCTGTCAAAATGGAAAGGGCTTTTAAGTCAAATGATAAAAATGAGACCAGAGAATAACAATTTTCTTCAATAGAGGATTCAAAAGAGAAGGAAAACAACCTTCTCACAGGGGGAGAGACAGCTAAGATGAACAGGATTTTAGTAACCCTTTCTGTACTTCATAACCCAAATTCCATCTGAAGCCCAGAAAGAATACACATTGACTACTATAGCAGAAAATAACTTTTTTTTTGGTTATTACTCAATGTGGTATTGTGATTTATAATAATAAATATATGTTTGGTAGTCATCCCTGTTCCTGGCACAGAGCTCCTAAAACACTTGGAATTTCGTAAGTGATAAGAGATAAAGGTAACTTTTGCTATTTATAACAATCCCCTTTCAACCCAACAGAGTTAATGTTAGTAACTGATTTTTGGGAAGCCCCTAAGGATGAGATCTGGTTGCCAGGGGAACCAACCATGTGATTACAGGGATAGAACTCAGCCCCCTCCCCATAAACCTGGGAGAGGAAGGGGAAGAGGTGCTGGAAGTTGAATTAGTCACCAATGGCCAAAGTGTTAACTATCATTCCTACTTAATGAAGCCTCCATAAGAACAAACAAACACAAAAAGACAGGGTTAGGAGAGCTTCTAGCCTGGTAAACACATGCAGGTGTTGGGAGAGGGGCACGCCCAGGGACAGCATGGACACTCCAGCTCCTGCCCTCTTGCTTGCCCTGTGTTTCCTCCATCTGGCTGTTCCTGAGTTATTGCCTGTGTGAAAAAAACTGGTAATCTACAAAGTAACCTGTTTCCTGAGTTTTGTGAGCCACTCTAGCAAAATACCTCCAACTTACAGCTGGTTGGTTAGAAGCACAGGTGACAACCAGGTCTTACAATTGGCTCTGAATTGAGGACAGTCTTGTGGGACTGATTCTTTAAACCTGTTGGGACCTGATGCTATTTACAGGTAGAAAATATCAGAATTGAGTTAAATTGTGGGACGCCTAGCCAGTATGTGATAACTGTTTGGTGTGAAAAACCCACATGTTAGGAGAGAGCATTCTAATAGTGCAGAGAAAAACAAAAGTTTTCCAATACATTCAATCTTCCTTTCTACTGAATCCTGAGATTTATAATTGATGTTCACAAATACATACACACACTCATAACTGTATTTATAGATCATTGTTCCTTGAATCTAGGACACACAATTTTATATTTCTGAAATGACGTATGCACATTATTGGGTATGTATATTTAATGTATTAGGATTATTTTCCCCTGAAAATCTATTACTAAATGGGTAATCTAATTTCAAATGATATATTTTAGCATATAGATGGTATACATTAGCGATTTTCAACCTTTTTCATCTCATGGCACACATAAACTAATTACTAAAATTCTGTGGCACACCAAAAAATATATATTTTGCCCATCTAACAAATAATAATAATAATAGGTATAATTCTGATTCATTCACATGGGATGGCTACTGTTGTGTTGGCTGTTGTTAATGTTTTTATTTGACAATCTAAGGAAAAGAGATCAGTGCCCCTGACTAAACTGTCAGGTATTGCATGTTTTATTTTTTTATCTTTTAGAGAGAGAAAGGGAAAGAGAGATACAAACATCGATGTGAGTGAGAAACATCGACTGGCTGCCTCCTGCACGCCCACAACTAGGGATCAAGCCTGCAACCCGGGACTGTGCCCTGACTAGGAATCCAACCGGGACCTCTCAGTCCATGGAGGACACTCAGTCCACTGACCACATCGACCAGATGGTACTGCATGTTTTAAAAATTCCTGTGCACCCTGGTTGAAAATCATTGGTATACACACAAATTTTATTTATTACTCATTCACTTTCAATTGAATAAACCGTAAATTGTTGATTTTGAGTAAATTGGTCATTATTGTCACTAAATTAATGGCAATATTTTAAATACTACCCTTTCACCATATATACGTACCAGTTGTATCAGTTCTTTGGCAAGCTGGAGAACTGACATTTCAAAATTGGTTCCAATGTTATAAATTTCACCTGGTTCCCCCTTTTTGAGGACAGTGAGAAATGCTTCTACTACATCAGTAGCATAAAGAAAATTTCTTGTTTGAAGCCCTGATCCATGAATGCAGCTAAAGAGATTAAATAAAAGGGACTCATAAAATGTAAAAATGTAAGCTCTCCCAAGCCAGAGTAAGGGAATGACTGGGTATAACCCCAGAAAAGCCAATTCCTATGGCAATCCTAGAAATCTTTTGCTAAAAACACATTTTCACAACTTTTCTAAATTTTATCCATAGTTCTTAAATGATCTCCAAACCTCCTAAGGGTACTCTGTAGGAAAGTGGCAAACATATAGGAGATCCCCTGAGAAATATTTATTCACCAATTGTATACCTTAAATTCATTTTGAAGAAATATCTATAGTTCTATGAATTAAATAAATCCTTTCAAAAAGTAAAAATACATAGATGTCAAATTTTATGAAATAACTGAAAGTTCCAGGATAGATGATTAAAGAACTGAAGTTTTTTCCTCTGTCAACTACTTATCTTTCCCTCCTCCACCCTTTTCTACCTTTCCACCCCCTTCCCTCTGGTAATCACCACACTACTGTCTGTGTCTATGAGCTGTTGTGGTGGTGTTGTTTTTTTGCTAAGTCCCTTCACTTAAGAACTGAAATTATCTAAGTAAATAAATCATAAAGATGAATACTTATTTAAAAAATGACTACATTGATTGTAGAAGAAATTCTTAAATTTGTTGAGACATTCAATTCTATAGCCCCCAACTCTAAGACTTTATGATTTTCAAGAAAGACTGTCACTAAATACTAACAACATATCAGAAAAAATGGGTACAAAAGTAAATAATAACATACCATTTCCTGTTGTGTTGTAGTAAAGATATAAATTTTGGAATAACCTAAAAGAATATTTAAATATCACTTCAGACTTTGAAAATTTACTCATTAATATGAACCTGAACTCATCTAAGATTAAAACATTATTATTATTAAGAAATATACATATAGATGCATTCCAATTCTTATCAGTTCAAGAATAACCTATTATAACTTTGAAAAGTAAAAAAACCTCTAAGACAGTTTTCTATTTCACAAAATCAGTTATCTGCTAGAAAAATATGAATATAATATGAATAGGAGAAAATTTCAGAAAGGTCTTCATGAACAATTTGCTTTCATCACAAATCACACTTTTGTGTTGATTTTTTAAGAGCAGGAATCTTATTTACTTACTGCTTTCTACATATAACACCTACTCAATAAGTGCTTATGAAAATTTTTAAAAAGTACATTCCAGGGCCTTGGATTCAAAGTGAATTTATGTTAAACAGGGTGAGATAAAGTACTAAATTTGTAATAAATCTGTTAAAGATACTCCAAAAATTAAGCCAAGTAGATAGTAATACTAGCAGATCATGATAAGGTCCCTTTCCTTTGAGCAAACCGATTAATGCAACTAGCCGGGAAGTGAAAACTCATTCTAAATTGAGGCTGAGAGACAGCACTAGTTACTTAGAAGTGGGCTTACTGGTATGGAACCAACTACACAGGAGTTTTCAGCCTTTTAACTACATTTCTTTATTTACTACTTGTACTATTTTCTGGAAGACATTCAGGCCTGCAGCAATAGAGTTGGAGAACAGTTAATCAGATGACTGTAAAATAAATTTCCTTTTTTTTCTTTTGTTTATTTTTTGTCCAGTCTCTGAGCTCCCTCCAGCCCTTATCTCAGGGTTCCAGTTACGACTCTAAGTGAAGACAGGGACCACAGCTTAGTCGTCTTATCCCCCAGCCACCCTCAGGGGCCACACGCTGCACTCAACAGAAGTGTTATAGAACTGAATCAAAGGACAAAGACGCTAATGTGACCTATTTGGGGATTTTATACAGTAACAGGAAAAGAACAATGTTCTCCAAAGGCCCCAGGTGCACAGTGTCTCTGGGGAGCACTTTACTCACAAAGAGGTTACATAAGACTTGAATAAAACATTCTAAGATAAAATGGGTTTGCTAAAGCTCTACCACATGCAACACACTCCTTCTTGCCTTCACTGAGCAAAAATTAGTGTACGACGCCATCTGTCTCTTTACATCTCCCTGACTCTGGAGTCCTGCTTTCCAAAATGCCCTTTGAAGTCTGTATTTCCAGTTTGGGATTCCTGGGACCAGCATGGCTGATTTGGTACGGTGTCTCTACCCACTTGGAAAGACTTTATTCCATGCAAAAATCCCATCGCTGCTGGGTCTAAGATAAATTTCTGTACAAGCTTCCCGAATCACTCTCTAACTGGCTTCTACATTTCTGTACAGCCTGACATACTGGTCTTACTGCAATCAGGAGTTTAAAGTACAGGGTGACCGTAGTGGCTGAGAATCCAGCAAAGTACAAGGCATTTTCACACATATCATCTCACTGGATCCTTCAAAATCCTTTCTAATATTATCATTACTCCTCTATTTAAACATGATGCTCAAAGGGCCTAAAGTCATACCAGCTGGTGACTGTCAGGGTGAGACTTAAGCTCAAGTCTTCAACTCTAACCCAGAGCTCTGCATGTAGTTCATATAGTATCTATAAATTACGAACAATTACAACATAAATTTTGAACAAATAACTGAAGAGAGATTATGATAAATAATAAGTTACAATCACTAAAACACACTCTTAATTTAGAAGTCAAATGTACCTTTTCTGGATATTGATGTGGTCCATAAACATTACTGCTTCTTGTGATGACAACTGGAAACTTCAAAGAGTATTTGACATTAAGATAATGGAAAGGTCCAAAATAATGATTATCTAAAGTTCAGCAGTTTTAAAATACGGCACTTTTGGCTAAATAATTCCACACACTTTAAGGAGAGAAGTCAAGGGATTTTTTTCTAATGTAAGGTTCCTAAAAAGACAGGAGAGGATGGGATTCAGATGAAGACAGAGGTTCCAAAAAGAAGAAGAGGAATTTTTTATATATTAGAACAAGGGGAGGATAAATATAAACTGAAGGCAGGTTTATAAGTTTGATAGAAGAAAATTAAGGAAACTTCCACCTGATTATTTCAGAGACCACCTCTAGGACGCTAGGATTGGCTAGATATTAAACTTTAAGTTGGCTTCCTCCATTGTACCAACCCTTACAAATAGAACCACCTGGCATGAAAGAGAAAAGGACCAATGCTCCTGGAACACAAAAGGCAAGAAAACCTTAGGTCATTCCTTGGCTTGCCTTTCTGACCCAGTCCCTAATACTCCCCGAAAGATCAGTGGGGGATTAGGCTCCCATACTGACACTGTCAGAGCCACCCGGGGAAATCTACCTCCTGTTCATGAGGAGCCAAGAGAGGTGAATCATGCAGACAGGAGCACACAGGACGTAAGGGAATCTGCCCTCCCTCGGTCTTCCTTCACTCAGAGGATTCCTGGAACAGAGCTTTTCACTATGGCTCTATGGTAACACTCTACCTGTTACTGAAGTAGGATAAAACTATACACAAATCATTCCTTTAAAAGATGAACTAAACAAGAAGTAGGTCCTATTTTGTATTCATGCTACAGAAAATTAGTTTTGTAAAATTCTTTAATATGTAACTTTTCTCAATATATCTCCTCTTCTCCAGAAATAAACACTGCTAATGATAACTTGAAGTTTTAACACTGAAGTCCAAAGAAAAATGATTCAAGAGTTTTAAATTAAAATCAGTTCTTACTTTGTATCGTTCCCAGTAAGACTGTACAAAACACTCAGCCGCTGCCTTAGATGACGCGTAAGGATTTGTTGGTTGTTTGGGTGAAGATTCATCAAATTCCTAGTTTTAAAAAGATCAATTTTTTAAGAAAGTATTATACATACTTTCTAAGTAGAAAAATCAGAAAATATAAACATAAAATATTAATCATTTCATTAAAAAATAAATAAACCCCATGCCTAGCATTTTTCTAAGCACTTTAATGTAGTAACCTATTTAAAGTTCACAACAACCCTATGAGGAAAGAGGCAGAACAGCAAGTGCAAAGGCCCTGAGACAGAAGTATGTTCAAAGGAACTACAAGGAGCTTCATGAGAGGGGAGGGAAATGGGAGATGAGGTTGGAGAGCTAGCGAGAGGCCAGAACACGTGGAACTTTGAAGGACAATGTCAAAACATTAACAAATTTTGAGCAGAGTAATATTATGATCTTATTTACATTTTAAAAATCATTTTAGCTAGGGTGACAAGGTACAAGAAGGAAGTAGTCAACCTTATAAAAATTGCAAAGACAAATGAAAATGGTTGCTTCTCAGAGGTGGAATTATGGACTGAAAAGTGGTCAGGGTCTGCTTTTACTCATTATACTTTTTTTTCAATCTACTTTATTTTTTTCACTATACATGTGTTAAAATAAAACAGAATGAGCTCACTATTGACTATGAAAAATAGAGACTGGAAAGTGGAGCCATTTTTTGCATAAAAAGTATGATATTTACAAATGATTAAAAAAGAAGAGATTCCACTTTCTACAATAATTTCACACTCAACTCCTTGGCATTCCAGTGTGCTTTCCTGAGTGAACAGGCAGTATGCTACAGGCTAACTTACACATGCTTCGGCTCATGGAAATAACATTCATCAAGTATGTTAAACTGGGACAAAAAGATGAAACCTTGTGCTCTCTTGTAAAACGTTGTCAGTCAAGCCCAGCTGGTGTGGCTCAGTGGACTGAGTGTCGTCCCTTGGACTGAGGTCCCAGTTCAATTCTTGTCAGGGCACATGCCCAGGCTGCAGACTCAACCCCAACATGGGGCGTGCAGGAGACAGTCGATCAATGTTTCTTTCTCACATCAATGTTTCTATCTCTCTCTCCATAAGGACAATTTAAAAAATTTATCTTCATAAATAAATAAATAAATAAAATGTTGTCAGTCAAATAACATATGAATCTGTACCTAGAGCTTTGTTGTTGCCATTGGGGTGGCATTATTTTATTTGAACAGAAGACACAACAGAATACAAGTATGTAAAATCAGAGGATGAAAAAAGCCCAGAGTAGGTTTTAGTAATGCAGGTTTGTTACATGGTCCACAGTAGGTTGGTGAGATATACATTTTCTAAGCTTACCTTATCAAGACTGCCTCCATATACTTCATCTGTGCTGACATAAATAAATTTTTCCACTCTGGCTTCATGAGCAGCACTTACCAAAACGTGAGTGCCATACACATTAACATATGTAAACTCAAAGGCACGTACAAATGAAAGATCTAATAAAAATAAAATAAAATAAAAAGAGAGAGAAAAAACTAGAACAAGTCCATCAAATGGACAAAACAAGTATCAAACAGTAGGCTCAGGTTTAAGAAAAACTCTATTCACTTCTCTTCATTTACTATGAATACAATAGTTCTAAAAATCACATAGAAATACATTGCTATTATGATTTCTTTAAGACTAAATAACATCATACATGTATATTCTTAGAGCCTAGAAAACTATCAGTGGTAAATTTGCAGAAAACACTTTTAATTCCATAGTAGAAAAAATAAATGATACATCCAAATTTAAAATGTTTTTAAATTTAGAAACATTTGAAACTTCCATTTTAAGTTAGAGGGCTAGGCTTTTCAACTCAACGTGTTATTGCTAAAAACAACTGCTGGACAAATTATTTTAAAATAAATTCCTTTTAAAGAATCAATTTTCTATAATATGGGAATGAGAGAAACTTTCCTAACTATGTCTCACAATACAGAAGCAAAAGAAAGAGATTGATAGATTTGACTACATACAAATTCTTGCATAGTTAAAACTAAAGAAACAGAACAATCTACAAAGTAAAAACACAAATGACAAACTGGGAAAAATATGTAAAATGATCAGAAACAATGGGTTAATATATTCGGTCCATAAAGAAGTTATAAAACATTGCCCTGGCTCAGTGGTTAGAGCATCAGCCTGTGGACCAAAGAGTCGCAGGTTCGATTCCAGCCAAGGGCATGTACCTCGGTTGCAGTTCGTCCCCGGCCCTGGTTGGGGTGATGCAGGAGGCAACCAGTTGATGTGTCCCTCTTACGTCGATGTTTCTCTCTCTCTCCCTCCCTCCCACTCTATCTAAAGACAAATAGAAAAATATACTCAGGTAAGGATAAAAAAAAAAAAGAAGTTATAAAAAATAAAAAGTAACAACCCTATACAGTGATACCTCGGTTCTCGAACGCCTCGGTTTTCGACCAAATCGGTATTCGACCAGGAGATTCGAGAAACTTTTGTCTCGGAATCCGAACAAATATTTGGAACTCGAACTTCCGAGATGAGCCGAGTTGAGCCTAATGGCGTTCATTCGGCCCAGCGCGCCTTGCTTGCGTCATCAGTGTGAGTGCAGAGAGAGAGTCACGCTTTGTGGAGAGAGTCACGCTTTGTGGAGAGAGTCACGCTTTACACTGAATTTAACCCTTAGACATACTGTACACTTTTATTTCTTGTTGAGACTTATGCTTTTCTACATATTATATACAAATTAGGCCAGTAAATAGGCATTTTCTGGGGCTTGGAACGAATTAATCCAGTTTCCATTATTTCCTATTGGGTTTCATTGCTTCGGTTCTCGAACAATTTGGTTCTCGACCGTCCTCCTGGAACGAATTATGTTCGAGAACCGAGGTATCACTGTAGTAAAATGGGAAGAGACATAAATAGTTCTGACAAGAAATACAGAGGTACTTAAGTTTAAGATGCTTGACTTGATTATAACAAGAAATGTCCAAATTAAAAATTCACAGGTACCACTTCTTACCTATCAGATTGGCAAATGTTTTTTAAAAATTGACACACATTCTGTTGGTGAGACTCTGCGGGAAATGGTACTTTATATATTGTAAGTAAGAATACAAAATGTTTACAGCCCCTAAGGAAGAAAATGTTCAATATCTAGGCAAATTAGATATGCATTTCCCTAACCCAGTGTTATAGGGCTGAACTGTGTTCCTTTAAAATTCATGTTGGAACCCTTACCTCCAGTACTTCAGAATGTGACTATATTTGCTTAGGACAGTGATTCTCGACCAGTGTGCTACAGAATTTTTAAAATATGCAATACCTCTTATATACTAATAATGATCTCTCTGAAAGAGAAACTAAAAAAAAAAAAAATCCCTTTTACTACTGCAACAACAAAATAAGATACCTAGAAATAAACTTAACCAAGGAGGTAAAAGACCTGTACTCAGAAAACTATATGACATTGAAGAAGGAAACAGGAAGATATAAACAAGTGGAAGCATATTCTGTGTTCATTAATTGGAATAATTAACACCATTAAAATGTCCATACTACCCAAAGCAATCTATTGATTCAATGCAATCTCTATTAAAATACCAATGGCATATTTCACAGAACAAGAACAAACAATCCAAAATTTATATGAAACCGAAAAGACTCCTGAATAGTGGCAGTAACCTTGAGAAAGAATAACAAAGTTGGAGGGATCCCAATACCAGATATCAAATTATACTACAAAGCCACAGTAATCAAAACAGCCTGGTACTGGCACAAGGACTGGCATATAGATCAATGGAACAGAACAGAGAACCCAGAAATCAACCTAAGCCATTATGTTCAATTAATATTTGACAAAAGAAGCAAGAGCATACAATAAAGACAGTCTTTTCAATGAATGGTGTTGGGAAAATTGAACAGGTACATCCAAAAAACTGAAACTAGACCACCAACTTACACCATACACAAGAAGAAGCATAAAATGGATAAACAATTTAATTGTAAATCATGAAACCATAAAATTCTTAGAAGTAAACATAGGCAGCAAAATCTTAGACTTCTCATGTAGCATCTCCTAGGGCAAGAGAAACAAAGGAAAAAATAAACAAATGGGACTACATCAAACTAAAAAGTTTCTGCACAGCAAAACAAACAAACAAACAAACATTCTCAAAACCCACTGTATAGGAGAACATATATTTTGGGTTAATTTCCAAAATATATAAAGAATGATCCAATTGGAAAAATTTCTAGAAACACATCGTCTCCCAAAACTGGACCGGGAAGAGATACAAAACTTGAACAGACCAATAACAACTAAAGAAATGAAGATGTAATCAAGACTCTCCCAGCATAGAAAAGCCCAGGCCCAGGTGGCTTCACGGGGGAGTTTTATCAAATATTCAAAAAAGAACTAACACCCATTCTCCTCAAAGTATTTCAAAAAATTCAAGAAGAAGGAAGACTTCCAAACTCGTTTTATGAGGCCAGCATAATTCTAATTCCAAAACTAGAAAAAGACATTACAAAGAAAGAAAACTACTAGCCAATATCCCTGATGAACATAGATGCCAAAATCCTGAACAAAATACTAGCAAATCAGATCCAGCAATACATCAAAAAAATTATTCACCATAACCAAATGGGATTCATCCCAGGGATGCAAGGCTGGTACAATATTCGCAAATCAATAAATATGATACACCACATAAATAAAATAAAGAATAAAAACCACATAATCATATCAATAGATGCCGAAAAAGCATTCGACAAAATCCAGCATCCATTTCTGATAAAAACGCTCAACAATGTGGGAATAGAGGGATCACATCTTGACATAATAAGGGCCATATATGAAAGACCTACAGCCAACATCATACCAATGGGCAAAAACTAAAAGCATTTCCCTTAAGAACAGGAACAAGACAAGGATGCCCACTTTCACCACTCTTATTTAACATAGTACTGGAAGTCTTAGCCATAGTAATCAGACAGGAAGAAAAAACAAAACGAATCCAAATTGGAAAGGAGGAAGTAAAACTGTCATTATTCGCAGATGACATGATACTATACATAGAAAACCCCAAAGACTCCATCAAAAATTTACTAGACTTAATAAATGAATTTGGCAAAGTAGCAGGATACAAAATTAACTGCAAGAAATCGATGGCATTCTTAAACACCAATGATGAATTCACAGAAAGAGAAACTAAGAAAACAATCCCATTTATCACTGCGGCAAAAAAATTAAGATACCTAGGAATAAACTAAACCAAAGAAATAAAGGACCTATTCGCAGAAAACTACATACAGGTCATTGAAAAAAGAAATAGAGGAAGATATAAAAAAGTGGAAGCACATTCCTTGTTCATGGATTGGAAGAATTAACATCATTAAAATGTCCATATTACCCAAAGCAATCTATACATTCAATGCAATCCCCATCAAAATACCAATGACATACTTCACAGAACTAGAACAAATACTTCAAAAGTTCATATGGAACCAAAAAAGACCGTGAATAGCCACAGCAATTTTGAACAAGAAGAACAAAGTTGAAGGGATCACATTACCAGATTTCAGGTTATACTACAAAGCCACTGTAATCAAAACAGCTTGGTACTGGCAAAAGAACAGGCATATAGACCAGTGGAACAGAACAGAGAACCCAGAAATGGACCCAAGACAATATGCTCAATTAATATTTGACAAAGGTGGTAAGAGCATACAATGGAGTAAAGACAGCCTCTTTAATAAATGGTGTTGGGAAAATTGGACAGCTACATGCAAAAAAAATGAAACTAGACCATCAACTTACACCATACACAAGAATAAACTCAAAATAGATAAAAGACTTAAATGTGACTCATGAATCCATAAAAATCCTAGAAGAGACTGTAGGCAACAAAATTTCAGACATCATACGCAGCAGAATTTTCACTGATACATCACCTAAGGCAACAGAAACAAAGAAGAAAATGAACACAAGGGGCTACATCAAACTCAAAAGCTTCTGCACAGCAAAAGATACAATTTTCAAAATGGAAAGGCAACCCACTGTATGGGAGAGCATAATTGCCAATGATATATCAGACAAGGGGTTAATTTCCAATATATATAGAGTGCCCATACAATTCAACAAAAGGAAGACAAAGAACCCAATTAAAAAATGGGCAGAGGAACTAAATAGACACCTCTCCAAACAGGACATACAAATGGCCAAGAGACATATGAGGAAATGCTCAACATCACTAATCATCAGAGAGATGCAAATTAAAACAACAATGAGGTATCACCTCACACCTGCCAGAATTTGCTGCCATCAACAAATCATCAAACAAGTGTTGGCAAGGGTGTGGAGACAAGGGGACTCTAGTACACTGCTGGTGGGAATGCAGACTGGTGCAGCCACTATGGAAAACAATATGGTGTTACCTCAGAAAATTAAAAATTGAACTTCCATTTGACCCAGTGATCCCACTTCTAGGAA